ACTTACAATCACGTATATAATTATTGTACTGCTTGCGGCTAGAGCTATCAAACACGGTATAGTCCTTGAGTTTGGTATCCTTCTTCTAGATAGGTAGCGAGGAAGGTCCTACTATTGGTTCTAGTCTAGCAGTAGTTGTTAGGGCTTCCTATAGGCGGCGAATCTCGAGGAGATTATCCTTTAGCTGTTGTTCTTAACGCAAGGCAGTAAGCCTGTTTTAGGTAGCTTCTTAAAGTCTCGCTACTAGCTAGGGGCTAAAGGCTAGTTAGCTATATCGACGGTTAACAATATTGTTAAGAATGTCGTCGACAGGCAATTCTAGGTCGTTACCTAGAATTACAGGTTCTTCTTTAATAGGCTCTCCGGCAGGCTCTTTAGTAGGAGGCACTTTAGTAGGCACTTTAGCGGGAACTGTGCTACTAGCGTTGTTATTGCTAGCGCTGCTAGCGGTAGCACGGTTGTTGTTGCTTCGTAATAAGCCGGCTATTGTAAGAGGTAACACTAATAATATATTATAGGCCCCTAAGATGCGGATATAGCGGAGTTAGTAGATATCGGCTTAGTATACTTAACTTAGTGTAATAGGCCGTATAGAAGGCCTTGCTTAATAATTAGTACGGTTATTTCGATAGAATAGTACGTATAGGTCCCGTTTTTCGGGCGTAATATAGTTAGATTAGTCTTGTTCGTAGCTATACCGCTGAAAGCTTGAAATAAGGACTATCTAGCTACTGCCCTTAAAGGGTAGATCGAATACTGTATAAGAAGGGTTATATTAGTAGGTAGATAGGGTGGTAGTGAATTAGTATAGTATTCGATAAGGATATAGGAGGAGAGGGAGGAAGGCAGGAGAGTTAGCCTAACGCTAAGCGCTAAGCTCTGCCTAAGGCATTAAGACCCTAGCTTTACTCGGCCTAGTTACATGCCAATTACATGTAGCCTCTTTAGCCCTAACACATAGGCTAGGGTCGCTACGTACTTAGCGCTAAGCCTCCTCGGCTTCCGCCTTATACGCGCTTCCCTTTTCTTTTAGCTGCGGCCCTGCAGCTAGTTAGCCTTAGCATACCCCGTACTCGTACGTACAGCCGAGCAGCTAATAAAATCTTCTAATGCCCCGTACCCGAACGTACAGCCGAGCTAATAAAATCTAATGCCCCGTACCCGAACGTATAGCTAAGCATCTAATTAGAATTGCGTCGCAATCTAACAAACAAGCCTATAAGCTAACCCCTCTAAGGCAGGTGCGCCTATAGCCGAGTCGCGCGCCTAAGGCAATTAGGCACCTCCGAAGCCGCGTCTGCTAAGGATTAGCCTAGTCGGCTAAGAACGCACGCCGAGAATCGAACGCGCGACCTTAACCTACAGACCGTAAAGCGCGGATACTATGTTAGACCGCTATACTAGTACGCCCGTTTACTAGCGTCTTATGCCGCGACAAAAGATCGGAAGTATCCGCGCTTACTAAGCGTAGATCTCGGGCGCACTTATAGGCTAGGGTCGCTACGTGCTTAGCGCTAAGCCTCCTCGGCTTCCGCCTTACACCTATTATAAGGATAACCCTTCCTAACGGCACCTAGGGCAATCTCTATAGTAGATACTATATCTAGCTAAAATACGCTTATAGTAAGGTAAGGGCGAGTAACGTACCTATAGCGGACGACTAGTAGATTTAGAAGATTAAGAGGCGTATAGCAACTATGCTATCCGGTAAGTTCCTAGCCCTCTACGAAAACCTATCTAGCTACCCTTATAGCTATACAAATAGGGCGCTAGTAGTAACGCAGCTGCTATATAGAGAAAGCCTTCGGCTTTGCTATTCGTACTATAGGAGATTTTATAACGCTAAGAGAAGTATAAAGGACGACGCTGCTATAATTGCCTAGTAGCTCTTATTCTCGAGACGCTAGGCAACTTTTACCTACGACAACCCTAATAGTTATAAAAAGTTAGGTTTCGTATAGTAGGAGCTACTTAGCGGCCTCTACCGGTTCTACTATAGTATATACTGCTTTTATAAGAGTAGCGACTAGGCGCCTAGAAGAGAAATAACTAGGTAGGATATAGTTAACGTAGCGGAGCCTAGCTAGAGGACGCAGACGATACTATTATCCTACACTCCGATAAATATAGCCTCCTAACGAAGATACGAAATAAGTTATATAGTATATAACAAGGATTATTACGTATATCTATACTACCGAGTATAAGGCTAGACGATAGAGTCTACTCTATAGCAAAGGGACCGATTCCTAGGGTTGCCTAAGTACCTTAGTAAAGAAACGGCTCGCTACTAGAACGAATACTAAGAGTGTAAGAAGGACGTATGCGAGCACTTCTGCTATAGGATACGATTTACTTAGTACGATAAGGCGTATATTAGGTATAATAAATAGATATATAACTACGAGTATTACAAGTCCTAGATACTATTAGTACTTAGCAGATCGGTACTAATAAGGAGGCTAGAGAAAACCGTTACTACTATACGATAGGCGAAGGTAGCTAACTTAGCCGAGTACGACCGCCTAACTAGGACCTTACGAGAGTTACTCGCTACTAGTAACAAGCCGGATCGATCGGTAGTCCTAGAGCTTATAATATAGTTAAAAGGAGTAGTAATAGCAATAATACTAGGGAAGAACTTTAGTCTACTAGTTAGAGACGGCCGCATAGACAGTTAGGCATATCTGCCTATTACCGATCCGGATAACTTAATACCGCCTTAGCTAGACCCCTAGCTCGCTTAGGAAAGAGAACTTAGCGAGCTAGTAGAAGACTAGATAGATTCTTAGGTCGCGCCTTATAAGCCTAATCCGGTCTTAGAAGTACTACCTAGGGACTTAGAGTTAGTTATAGACGACTCGCGTATAAGGGAAGCGAGCCTAACGCGTACCGAAACGACTATCGCGGGATACTTAGTAATCGTATTACTAGCGTCGGTAAACGCGGTAATAGCAGAGGAATAAGAAGCAGAGTAGAGTCGATTAAATAGAGAATAGTATAAAAAGATAGAGACGCTTCTAAGATATAAGAAATTGCTATCTAACTATACTATATCTTAGCGATACAATCTAGAGCGATACGCGAAGAACTTCCGTTAGAACCTAGAGTATAGCCGGCTAGAGAGATACGTTAATAGCACTAGGTAGGTCCCTTACGTCTACCTAAGAGATATATTACGAATCTTATAAAGAACCTATAACTAGGGAGGTTACTTTAGCGCCGAAGTAGTTAGTAAGAAGATTAGAGGGCGGGTATTCTAGCCTACGATCTCGGCCGATATTTATAACTATATCCGTACTTACGTTTAGTATATAACCTAGGTATAGCGACTTCGAAGTAATAAGCTCGTCTCCTTCGATACTTTTAACCTATAGAAGCTTATATAGATAGATATAATAGGTCCGTTCCTAGAAATACTAAGAGGTAACCGGGTCCTACTTACGATAATATACTGCTTCTTAAACTTTACTATCGTAGTCCTACTAAAGGACGGAAACTAATACTACTACTACTACTTGTAGTAATAGTATAGGCTACCGAGGGTAACATAACCTATAGCAATATAGGCAGCTATGTTTAGCAAGATAGGATAACGAGACTGTCGCTTAGGCTAATAACTAGAGCCCTGCAACATAGGCATTATAGAAGTGTAATATAAACAATGTGCTATACGAGGTTAATGCCCTATCTATAATATAGAAGGAGGCCTCTTATATAGGCTTAAAACTAGCCTATAGGTGTAGGGCCGGTTACTAGCTAATACTACTTCTAGACAAATAGAGCTCTATAGTCCGACGAGCGGTAGAGGATGTCTTTAATACGCTTTATTACCCCGTCGTGCTATATATAGACCTAGGAACGGAGTTTTATAGGCAATTAAAGGAAGCACTAGAACTAAGAGGGACGCTATTGCGTTAAGCAGTAGTAGAACTTTACCGTATAACCGGTACTATCGAGAACGTTAATCGAATCCTCCGACGAACTATCGAAAAGGCTACGCACATTTATACCGACGCGGCGGGACATTAATATACGAGTTTTACGGACTAGGACTTAGCAAGCAAGCGATGTGCGCAGGCGGCTAACGAAAGGTACACGCTAAAGCTAGGATACGCGCCGACGGAGGTAGTGCTCGGATGCCTCCCTAGATAACTTAAGGACCTTAAAGTTACCTACCTAAGCGAACGGCGGACCTACCTCTCCCGTCTCGCGGGTAAGACGGCTCCAAGGCACCTTAAGGAAGGCGACTTGCAGCAGGCGTGCCGCTACCTTATAATAAGCAGAGAGGAAGTGTAGGAACAATATCGAGCCAACTACCTCCGGGAGAGAGGGGAACGAGAAGAGAGGTAGGATCGAGGAGCGAAGGAGCAGGCTATAAAGAAGGGAGACCTAGTATTGTTGCACTAGCAGAGTGTAGATAAGGCGGCGGTGCGCTGGACAGGCCCTTACCGCGTAGCCAGGTACTTGGGAGAGCACGACAAAACGGTCGAGCTAGAGCACGTAGATGGACGGCCTGCTAGTCTTAAAGCAAGGCATGTCAGCCAGCTTCGCATCTACCGAACACGCCCAGCCAGATTGCGACCAGCCGTAGGAAGGTCTCCGGAGGACTGAAGGTAGTCGAGGGCGACTAGGCTTAATTGAGGGAGTAGGAAGCGGAGGATAGTTGCAAACGGTATTTCGGCTAGTTGCGTAGAGGGACTGGAATATCTCCTATCTTCGTTTGTTATAGGCGACTACATAGAAGGATGGATTTCCGGTAGATAGACCATTATCGAACCCCTTTGCACCCAACTCCTCTTTCTTTGTTGCACCAGAGACATTTTCCTCGGTCAAGAACTTCTCTAGTAGTGTGAGTGGATTCCAGATTGGATCGCCTCTGAAGATTACCGTCGAAGATGCTGGCTACCTATGACGTAGCATGGTCTTACTCTTCCACGTGGAACACCCTCGCGCCTTCTCTTTCGATCTTGTGACGACTGCACACTCTTGCGGGCGCATCATTTGTGGAAGGAACGAGGCGAGGTTTCGAAAGTCTGGTCCAAGGATAGTGGCTCGGCAAAGAGAAAGTCCAGTCCGAAGTCGGCGTCACTTTCCGAGAGCTGATATAAGGACTGGTAATCGGTAGCAGGTGGCTGGGCTGTCGATGCTACATCGTGTGTTGAAGCTGTCTCAGAAGCGCGAGACGATGGCAGGTGGATGCCAAAGTCCGAGATCAAGCTGCTGTTATAGCTGAGATACCACTCCAAGGTTCGTCTCGCAGAGTTCAAGATTCGCGCCGGAGCAGAGTGCTTCTCAACGGCACGGATTCTGTCTCCGACTTTGCACAGCTTCTCGGCGTATTCTGTCAGAGCTAGCAGGCGTGTCTCAATGATGGCCCCGAGAGTGCCGCCTGGAACCGTTAGAGCAATGTACAGCTTGGCGAGCAGGTAAAGCGCGTATGCTGCTCTACTTGCGAACATGAGGCCAGGTAAAGCGAGGAGCGTATGGGTGTCGAATGACACAAGAGTATCGATTATGGCGTGCAGGGCGACCACCAGTTCGTACACAGCCGTGATGTGTTCTTCGCTCACGACGGGAGCCGGGAAATCGGCCAATGATAGGTTCTCCGGGATGTAAGGTGCTGCAAAGGACTGCTTGTTCGTTGAAGTGTGGAGAACTGCTTCGTGTATCAAGGCCGTCGCTACGTGCTCTAGATAGAGAAGCGATGGTATTCGGAGATGAATTGGTAACAACATCTTCCAATTCAAGAGCTTGTTCCTGCAGATTTGAGCCTTGGTCTTCATGATCGGGTCCGAGATGTCGTAATAGCTTGAGACGTCGCCCAGTTCCATTTCTTCGGCAATTTGCTCGAGAAGTCTTTCGACGCGAAAATATTGACAAAGATATGCGTCGCCATGTTCATTGTCAGAGTACTGCAGCATCATGAGCGCGTTTTCGCTTTCTTCGTTCCACCTCGACTGATACGGTCTCCTCATAAAGATGCTCATGGATGCCGACAGAACGTGTGCGCCAATCCAGGCCCGGTGCACATCAGCAGTGTTTCCCTCCTCTCTCTCGCGCGCAATCCTGGCGTTAGAGGACAAGTCATGCGTCGAAAGAGGGCCTGCAAGACTGATCCCGGCAGCAATGCTACTGCAAAGCTGTATAAGATGATATATGGACACATACTTGTGGTGCTCTGGCGTCCTGTACCACAAGCAAGCGATCTGAATGGCTCGCATCAGGTCGAGGCGGCTGTCCTTTTCTCCGATGACACTGTTTGCAAGGCGATCCAACAGAAGTTGTGCAACATGATCTTGTTGCACGGAGGTCAAGCATCCGGGACTTGCAGCGTACATGACAGCCAGGAAAAGCACAGGTCGCTTATCACGAAGCTCGAGCAGAGTCTGTCCAGCAGGCAGAGGGACCAAGGGGAAGACTGGGAGGACATCGTTACAATAGCGCCAATAACAACGCTGCTGGAGTTCAGAAGATATCGAAGCGTCCAGTCTGAGGATATCGGGGTCAGCGATTCGCGATGCATTACTGCTTTCATCCGTCACCGACGTCTCGGACTGCTCAGGCGAGCTTTTTTCCAGTCTTCGCTTCTTCGAAGCGAGCGGATTTGAACTTGGCGTGGATGACGACTGCAACAGAATGTCATCATTGCCGACATCCTGGCCACTGGGGTTCAAATGTGCTTCGTTGATACCTTGCGCTTGCAAGAGTCGCGTTAAGCTGGCCACCTGTGCTTCCAGCTCGGCGACCCGATCTTTCTGTCTTTTGGAAGCTGTCAAGGTGCAGTCTTTTCCAAGCCGTAGACATCTGTCGCAGGGCGGCACAGCTCCTTCTGCCTGGTGTCCGAGGGAGCATCTGCGCTCATGCGTTGGTTAGATGAGAAGGAAGGGAACGGATGGCTGCTGATTGCCCGACTCACTTAATCTTTATGGAGGAACAGGCTTGACAAGCTCTGCCTCGTTTGCCGGCAGACATGTTGGTTCATGTCCAAGACTATGAAAGCAGATCGTCGAAGGACTCGTAGATGATGGCAGCACAAGTTGAGGGCCGAGCAGAGGGGAAGGATTCGGATCAAATCAAATCCCTGCCATCATGGTGGTCATGTGACTATGCCAACTCGTCGCAAAGCCCGTTATCGACTGTCACATAGTGTACCGGCTGGGACTATCTACACTCTCATACAGTAGCTACCTATCCGAATGCCCACCAATGTCGGAGTGCTTCGCTCCAGCATTGCACCTGACTGTGGAACTCATAGTGCTGCTTAAACAACACGGTATCGGCCTCCGCCTCCAGAACGGTTCTCTGCATCTTGTGCCTGCAGTGTGCCTTCGGTCAAGTGACGTGAAAGCTCACGCATCGCCGACTGCACCGCAATCTCTGTATCACCCTCCACCAAAATGTAGAGCTTCGGCTCGTCGCCAGCGTTGACTTCCTTGCCGGCCGGGTAGTAGATGCCCTTGGAAGTGATCGAAGTCCCGGTCGCTTCAAGGATCTTGGCCACATTCGTCCTGTTCGTGACAGCCCATCTGGCCTTCTGCGGGAAGTCATTGATCTCAAGCGTAGCATGGAACGCTCCGGCGTCTGGACCACGATTGTCGATCGGTGCTCCCGGACGCGTCGCACCCTTTGTTCCGAGACGACTGTTGATACTGGCCGCCGCCGCTGCAGCTCTGGCAACAGGATCGCTGATGGTGGCAGGATTGGCCGCAGGCGTTTCGGTCTTCGACACCTTCAAAGCATTGGCCAAGTGCGCTTGCAAGTCGTTGCGGAGGTCGCCCTGAGCTTGGCTCTGACCACCTTGACCCGTCTGCTCAGCTTGAGCATCACGATCGGTGACCTTGCCGGCAGCTTTTGAGACAAGCTTCTCCACCTCGCTCTCTTTCTTGTCTTTCTCCTTCTTAGCCTCTTCGTTCTCCTCCTCTGGCTCGTCTCCAGTCTTGAACATGCTCTTCTCTCGTGCACGTTCAGCAGCACGAGCAGCATCAAGCCGCTCGATGCCATGGCCACCAAAGCCTGAACCTGCCCGAGATGCCTCACCAGCCTCGACCTTTTTCTTATGTGTTGCTGCCAGTTCTTTGAGATCATCTGGAGGCTCTTGCTTGCTGTCCTCCAAGCATCGGACGAGGAAAGGCGCATACCGATCCTGCTCGGGAGTGACGAATGTAACAGCAGTACCGGTATTGCCAGCACGACCAGTGCGGCCGGCACGATGGACATAATCTTCTCCGTGGTTGGGCGAATCAAAGTTGATCACCAACTTGAGCTGCTTCACGTCGAGGCCTCTCGCCGCCACAGACGTGGCCACCATGATGGGTATGGCGCCCGATTTGAAGTCGAGGATGGCCTGGTCACGGTCGATCTGCTCCCTGCCTCCGTGTACAGAAACACTGGGGTACCCCTTCTTGCCCAATTCCTTGAAGATGTGGTCGGCAGTTTCTTGTCTCTCAACGAAGACGAGAGAACGAGCGTCTTCATCTTCTTCGAGTAGATTGCCGAGCAGCTCCAGAACGCGGCGGAACTTCGTATCCTCAGGTCGAACCTCGATGATTTGAGTGATTTCGGGAGCCACGACACTGCGACCTCCTACAACGATCTCAACTGGTTTCGAGAGCGTCTTCCGTGCAAGAGATTCCATCTTCTTTGGAAATGTTGCCGAGAAGAGGACAGTCTGCCTGTCTGGTCGAATATTGCCCAAGATGCGTGTAATCTGAGGCTCGAAACCCATGTCGAACATGCGATCAGCTTCATCCATAACGACGTAGGTAACGCGGCGTAGATTCGTGACGCGGCCCTGATTGGCAGCGAGAAGATCGATCATGCGTCCTGGGGTGCACACGACGACCTCTGCGCCTCGCTTCAATTCTGCAATCTGATCCTTGATGGGAGCTCCACCGTAGGCGCACACACCACGCAGACCAAGCGCCTTCAAATATGGTTTGCATTCGCGATGAATTTGAACGGCAAGCTCCCGAGTCGGCGCCATAATGATGCCAACGGGGCCTTCCAGATTTGCGACCGGGCGTTGGTCCTTGATGTGACGGAACATGGGTAGAATGAATGCCAGAGTCTTGCCTGAGCCAGTCTTCGCAATACCAATGGTGTCACGGCCAGACATGATCGCCGGCAGAGCTTGACACTGAATGGACGTTGGACTCTCGAATTTGTTCTCGCGGATCACGTCCAGCACCTGGGCACCAAAACCAGCCTGTGACCACTTCGTGATTGGCTTCGGCGGATCCACACCTCTGACGGTGATATTGTCAAGCTCAGCTCTGAGCGTCGTCACATCGTCTTCAGTCATTTCCGAGACCTCAATCGATTCGTTATAAAAGTTCTTGCGGAATGATTCGTAGTCAATTTTCGAGTGGTCGACAGCAGGAATCTCCTTTTTCTTGCGCCTAGCGGGGTTCAGTAGATCTTCTGGGTTGTCGCCGACTGCATCAAGATCTGGGCCATCATCCTCATCAAAGAGCCGGGGCTCTCGTGTGCCACGCTTGGCTGCACTCGGCTGTGGTCGCCTCTCCGGGACTTCCTCGAGATTGTTCATGAAGGCATCCAGTGGATCGACGTCCTCGTCTACTTCCATTGCAGTATCAGCAACAGCAGCAGATGTCGTGGCTGGTACTGAGGGTTCGGCATCAGGCATGGTGGCATCTTGATCTTCTTGCGCTTCTTCCGCACGCTTTTGAGCCGCCTGTCGAGCGGCTTCAGCCTCTTCCTCGTCGCTTCGAAGATCTTCCATGTCATCGTCTTGGTCATCTTCTCCATTAGGATCCGCAACATCACTTGTAGTAGACTCGAGGACAAGGTCAGGAAGCTTCTTAAATTTACGCTGCACATCATCCTCGTCGTCCAGGGCAGCAGACTTTGCTGTAGCAGTCTTATCGCCAGTCTTTTCGGAAGCGCTCTTGTTTAGGCCGAAGCCCGTGATCTTGGCATCTTTAGATGCCACGCGAGAGCCTACATCCTGGCTTAGCAATGCACTCGGATCCAGCGCGTTTACGTTGCCCTCACCTTTCGGCACATTTCCTGTCTGCGCGACAGTGTTCAGATCGTTTGCGTTTCCATTGGCGATAGCAGGAACGGCTGCATCGCCGCCGAGTGTTGCCTGTTCGGGCTTCAACTTGCCTTCCGTCTGCTTCTTGATGGCCTTAGGATCGAACTTGGCCCGCGTTGTCGCAGGTGTATCTTCGAATGTTGGAGCAGGTGCTGGCGAGCCGACAGCTGTAGTGGTCTGCGAGTTTGACGGCGATGCAGCGGTTGGGGTTAAAGCAGAGGCAGAAGCAGAAGCAGCCTTTCCGGCTTCGAACTTGGCCTTCTCTTGGGCTTTCTTTGCCTTCCATGCCTCGACCTTGGCCAGTCTCTCTGCTTTCGCCCTTTTCTCAGCCTCATCCTCGGCTGTCGGAGGGGGCTGTCGTGAGTCGCCATTGGAGGGTTCATTCGATGTGGGCGGTCGTGAGGAGGGCTGTTCATTTAGCATGGCTCCAAGAATTAAAATGCAAACGGAATCACGTACCTCGCCACGGTCCACCGGGGTAGTCCTTCGCCGTTTGTTCCTGTGTCCGTTATCGTGCAAATGGTCGTCGTCAGGTGGACGTCGCGGCTTGTTCTTCGGGTCTCTCACCGGAGATCTGCAACGGCCATAGCCATGGTCGCGGGGGGAACGTGAGCGAGGCTCGCGGCGACCGCGGCCATAGTCTCGGGATCGATCTCGTTCATAGCCGCGGTCGCGATGGTCGCGAGAGTAGTCTCGGCTTGCTCCACGAGGGCGATCGTCGCGGCGCTGGGTCTGTCTGTCTATCAAACTTCTGTCGCTGTGGTAAGTGCCACGACCTCTTACATCTCTGCTGCGCGATCGTCGATGATAGCTCCGATCGTATTCTCGATCCCGGTCACGCCGAGTGTCGCGGTCGTCTCTCCTACGCGCTGGTGAGCGGGCCATATTGTGCGGCCGGTTGTCGATCGTCCGTACTGCACGCTCTTTGCCGCTCGCTGCTGGTGCGATGCTCTCGCTCCCTAATCTTTCTCCTCCACGCTCGATTGCGCAACTCGCCTCCGAAACACGCTGTGTAGGTGCGCCGTTGCTGCACCTCCGCCTCTCAGTCCTGCTGCCCGCCTTTCGCCGCACAAGCTCGCAGAATGCGCCTTACCTCAAGTGGAATTGCTGATTGCAGTAGCGGAGTTGTCACTCAGGGCAATGCCTGAGTATCGTAGTGCCGCAATGTCGAACGCAGGCGCAATCGGCCGGTGGTGTTGTGTTCGTTGCGAAGTGAGCTTTTCGATAGCGAAAGAGCGAAAGAAGAAGTTGACAGCTCAAGCACGTGAGCTCGCGGCGGATGGCTTGGCGCTTGCGAGCAAGCACGGGGAGCCGGGAGCCTGAGCCTGTCACTCTATCGCAGTCGCATTATTGTGAGAGAGCCCAACCACCCAGCCACAAACACACCTCCTCCTCCACCAGCACTTCCTCTTCCACTCCAAGTCTCCAACTACACCGCCTCCGCGCCCATTGCCGGTCGCGCAGCCTTCCAGGAGGCCAAGACACTGAAAAATCATCCAAACTCTGACATGCTCGGGCGGGTGCTGGTGCGCTTTCCTGCGCGTCTGCCTCGCTCTCTCCCTCTCCTGCAACCCAATCATGGCCTGAAGCCGAAGATCTCCATTATACTGCCAATTCGCACTTATGCCACACCAGGCAGACCCAAGAGTGTTGTGGGCGAGCCATCGCGTCCGGTGAAGCGCAACGTCAAGAAAGGCGCTGCGAAGCCACGCGATGCATCGAGTGCTGCCTCCAAGAAGCTTGCCTCCAAGAAGCTTGCCTCCAAGAAGCGCACAACGACTAGAGCAAAGACACCAGAGCAAAAAGCGGCGCAAGCGGAGAAGCAGGCCGCACAGAAGGCGGCATTGGCAAAGCGAAAGGCTGCGCAGAAAGCAGCGAGCCAAGCGACCGCAGAAAAGGAGAAGCTTCAGGAACTGAAAAAGGCCGCGCTTGATCCTCCGAAGCAGAAAACAGGTGTGAACGCCTACATCACCTTCTTCGCAGAGAAGGCTGCGGGCAGTTCAGTGAGCGACAAAGTCAATTTTGCCGAGAGGTCCAAGAACATCGGTGCTGAATGGAAGAACATTTCGGCTACAGATAGAGAGGTGAGACCCAACTTGCTTTGATGACAGAGAGCGGTTCGCAGATTGACACGCACATCAGCATTACAACCATTTGAGCCACACCAAGGCTGCAGAGCAACAAGCCACCTTCAAACGCTGGGTAGAATCGCACACTCCTACTCAGATTCAGAAAGCGAACGAAGCTCGTGCTCAGCTTCGAAGGAAGCTGCCTTCTCAGAAGCACAAATGGGCCAAGATTCCAGACGAGCGCGTCCCCAAGAGACCAACAGGTTCTTTTGCGCAGTTCAATACCAATCGTCGACACAGCGGTGACTTCCAAGGCATCAGTCTCTCCGACTCCACAAAGCTGCTCGCGCAGGAGTGGAAGGCATTGAGCCCGTCCGAAAAAGAGGTTCGTGGTCATCTAACGACATAGATTCGTTTGACTCCTCACTGACATTTTGCTGCAGAAATACGAAAAGATTTACAAAGATGACCTTCAGCGCTACGTCTCTGAATACAGCACTGTATTCGGACACCCTCCAGCCAACAGCGGTGCTAGCGAGGCGACTGCAGCTGCATAGATTCGTGATCTTCGAATCTGGTGGTTATGAACGGCGCGTGCGATCGGGACGCGGGATGGATTGAGGGAGGTGCTTTGTGTGGTTCACTATGTTCTCGCGACATGATCGATGAGCTTTGTATATGTGCGGTGGATGAATGATCAGCGCGCGGGCGGTGAATCGCGAGGACGGACTGCGTTTGCTCACGCCAAGGCAAGAATCTTAATGTCAAGGAGTGTGCTCTCTTTGTGTATAGCCACCATGGAGCTTTTTATGCGGTAGCTCTGTAAGACAAATGACACTATATTGGTTGCAAGCAACAGCCGAATGTCTCATCACGTTCTTCGTTTCGCATCTCCCCAAAGCTAATAATCTCACCCGATACGAAAGACCAACAACAATAAGCCTCTCGCACCCCCGCCAATCTTGCATCATTCCAAGTTTCCAACCCAGCAATGCCGCGAATACGAGCTCACAAGCCAAGATGTCGTGATGTTGGCAACAGGACCCTTCAACCACACCCGCCAGGCCCTTTCATTGGACGAACTTCGCATGAAGCTAGCTAAAGTACAAATACCAACCAAATCGTTCCTAACAAAAAAGTCCCCGGGTCGGCGTGATTGGAGCATTGGCGCTGCAACGCTAAGAAATGTTTTGTTAGTAACAGATGCAGAGATGGATACGAAAGGGAAAGAGATGCAGTGGTAACTATGAGATTGGTGGCCCTCACACTGGAGCCAACAACAATGTTTACGTGGCGATGGGCAGTGCAGCAGACATTAGCAGGTTTACGGGCATGTTACCATGCATGGTTAAAAATTGATGGCTGGAACCACTGATGAGCACTTTGGTTGGCAAGGTTGTTCAGATCTCATCTCGTTGTCTTTATTAGGAGCGAAACACGTCCTGCACTCCATGCTCGGAGCAAGGCCACTGTCTGCGAAATGCCCCGCTACTGTTCGAGCTTTATATGTTGGAGTCGTGCAACGCTGGCCGAGAGGTGCGACATCACGTACATGTGTACTCAGGGCTCGAGACAACAATGCAGAAACATACCCAGGTTTTTTTTATGTACCCATCGAAGATAAGACCGCAGGACCCAAACTTTTTCTAGCTTCTGTTCTTCATCAATCTCAGTGTCATCTTTTTCTTCTTCTTCTTATCATGCCGCGTCTCTGTATGTAATGCTGTTTTCTCACGTGGTTGAGCCAATGCTGTTCCCAATGCACCGAAACAATCGCTATGCTCGCTTCTTCTCTCTAAACTTCTCATCTAAATGGCTTTGCTTTTACAAGTGCCTCGCATCGGTCGGCTTCAATGGATTGCCACCAGAGCTTGGTGTCAACGAGCCCTCGATGCGTCGTTTGGCTTTCTGCTTCTCTTCCTCGGTGGGGTTAGCAGTGGGCTGGTCTGGAAGATGAGGAGCATGCCCGGTGGTACGTCCGATAGACATGCCGACGCGGACCTTCGTAAAGTGTCAGCTAGCGCACAAAGTATGCCAATGCATACGCCACTCACCAATGTCTCCAAGGCCCCATTGCTATTGGCCACCAGGTCTTCATCAAATCTCATCACGCCAGGCTCAAACAAGAGCAGGATAGTTGAACCTCCAAATTTGAAGTACCCAAGCTCTTCTGCACGCTTCACGTTATCACCTTTCTTGCGAGTGATGACAGTCGATCCGACCATCATAGCACCAACACAAATGACCATGACTTTCCCATGACACACCGAATCGATCGGTACGCAGACTCGAATATTTTCGCCGTAGACGTCAAGCGCCGATCTGATAGCCATTGGGTTCACAGTGTAGTACTCACCATCGATCAGTTTGGGCTCGCCCATCACACCGTCGACAGGAATATGGAATCGGTGATAGTCCTGAGGTGCAAGACGGAAGATTCCGAGCGCGCCATTCTTGTAACGCTTCGCATCTTGTGGGTACGCGTCAGCGAGCAGACGCTCGACGCTAAACTCTCGACCCTTGACCCAGATTCGTTGCGCGTCTTCCAGGCGATTGAACACCACCGAGCGGCAATCTGCAGGACTGACGATGACATGAGGATCATCTGGTGCAGAGCAGGGTCGAGCATCTGGTTTTAGTTTTCGGTAGAAGAACTCATTGAAAGTCTTGAATTTATCAGTCGGCAGCAGAACCTCACTCATGTCCAGCTGATGGAAGTTGATGAAGCCAGGGATCTGTGATGCTGAAGCAGGATCGTCGAATTTGCGCCCTTGCTTGAAGGACATGGAGCGAAGGAGCTTGCGGGCTGTGCTGGAGTTAGCTCAATGTTCACATGCTCGTGACGTCAGTGCGAAGGGACAGTCCACCCAAGAGAGGGCCTCTTGGCCCGGGTTTGAGACGTGGCCAAGGACAGTCAAGATGCATAGGTTGAAAAGTTGCATACCTCGTTTCTTCTCCATTTCCCTACTTTTGAGGCCTTTGTAGAGGAGTCGGATGCCAAGACGAACGTAGACGCTCATGCGTTCTTCATTGATCATGCCAGTTCTCCTGTCTTGGACAAGGATATTGGCACTGTTGGCACCTAGACGATAGCCTCCATAGGACACCTATTGCGTGAGTCAGTTGCATATCATTTGCTCTCATGACAGTGTGAGTTCAATACCTTCGTAATGACTTTAGAGTACCACTTGCGTTGGGCTTGTGAGCTGGTAACGAAACCGGCCATGACGAGATTGTTGACAGCTCGCCAGTCGCTGCTTGCACATGTTGCGATGTGCGTAATGATATCAGCGTCAGTTGCCTTGCGGCCTCTAGCAATACGAGGCTGGTGACAGATGGGACACTCAGAGATCTCAACTACATGCTCTTCGCCCGAGTCCTCGGCAAGCTCCTCTCCGTACTCCTCCGGAATGTCACCGCGCTCGCCAGCTTCTCCAAGATCGCTGACTTCAAGGGCTGGCACGGAGGAGGCATTGGGATGGACATTGGCGGGTGTCCGAGAGCCTGTCAAGTAGGGTGTTCCATTCGTAGGACTTGCTGAAGGAGAGCTGTTGGATACAGATGTGATGCCAGCAGAAATCGAATTCACCGACATGGACGAATTTCTGGGAGAGAGTCCAGGTCGCTCGTTCTTTTCCTGGTTCTTCATCAACTGTTCCTCTAGGCAGATGACGGCTTGATCCATTGTCAGATACTCATCGCCGCCATTGACGTCTTGCCAGCGACGGAAGAAACCGTCGATCGTACGATCGTGGAGTGTGCTGCCTAGGGTGTCGAGCATAGTCACAAGCTCAATTTTGTCGATCTTTCCGCTCTCGTCTGCATCGTATTGGCGTAGAAGGACACGCCAGAATTGCTGGCGAAGAGCCCTGTAGGGCAAGTACTTCGCGCGAATGTAGAGCACAGGACGGTGCTTGTCTTCCCATCTCGCCTTATTCTTGAGCTCGAGAGGAAGTTCGAATGCATGCAGGCCCGCTTCATCTGCAGGGTGGAGGGCGTCGTGGTCTTCCTGAGTCGTATATTGCTTATCATCACTAGGCATGCTACGTGGAATAGGACGATCTCTGTCAGTCAAAGATAGCTCGGAAAGACCATGTTGAAGGCCGGGTCGAGCGTCTCCAGATTTGAGATTGTTGTTGCTCGTGGACTTGGCCAATTTCGCCAGATTGGGAGACGAATTGCGGTTGCTGTTCAGCTTCGGCAGATTGTTGGAGCTTGAACTTCGAGAAAGAGGGTTACGGAAGCGCTTCCGCTTTTGTTCACCTTCGTGAATTGTGTGTTCTGGATCTGGCAGTCGATACAGACCAGTTTCTGGGTCGGCCTCTGGAGACAATTCCCTGACTTTGTCCAGAGGGAAGGTACAGGTACCGACAAAGTCGTTGCCCGAAAACTTGTCGCGGTCCACAACTGCGAAGCTCAAGCTAAAGTTCTGCTCGTGCTTCTGCACCTGGAAGACCAGCTTCTCGTCGTAGACAGGGTTCAGATTGTGATTTACAACGCGTGTCCGGTAGGTCTTGCGTCCAAGCGAGGTCACGACAAAAGGATCCATATCGTAGCTTGTCTTGGTCATATTCTCCTCTGGCGGCAGATCGGTGATTCTGTTGATCTCCAGGAAAAGTACGCCAGCTACATCGGACGTAGCGCCGAATTCATAGGCACTCATTTTCTTCTTACGACGGAGTCTTCTGAGCTTCCTGCGTCGCTTGTTCCTCTGCTTCTCCTCAGTTGTGCCTGTGGGTGTCCGCGTGCCATCGTCCGTCTCATCTGAAGGCTCCTTCTCGTCATCTTCTTCGTCAAGGTCCTCCAAGCCCTGGCTGTTCATTCTACGAAGCATCTCTTCCTCGTCTTCCTCATCGTCGTCTTGCTCCGGGTCGGATACAATGCCGGCGAACTTTTGCAGTATCTGCTGCGGTGTGGCAGACGAATTAGTGGGGTCGGTGAGCTTGAAGCGAACCAGCACTTCTCCAGAAATGTTGCTGTCTTTCTTCTGTTTTCGGCGTCCTTTGCGTCTGCTCTGTAGCTTGTGCCATTGCGGTTCCGGGTGGATATTTCCAGCGGCAAATACCTCTTCCAGGACCACATCAAATTCTCCCATGTAGTCCTTTTTGAATCTGTCCTTATCCCAGCATACCGCTTCGAGCAGCGCTGAATCTGGCGAGACGATTGGAAACTCGAACGTCTGGTTCCATTCTGGGTTGAGAGTCTTGCTGACGACGCTGGTGGCCTCCTTTGCCTCTCCAAGGGTAATGACTAGGTATGGATCTGAAGTGCCTGACCTGTCCTTGGCTGCGAGGTTGCGGCCCTTGAGGACGTACACTTTGAGACTCAGTCCCATGCCCATGTGGTCGCCCTCCTGCGACCTGCCATTGCCGGGCGTGGCCATGTTTCCAGCACGGCTGGGACTATGGTTGCGACTCAGCGAGGCAGGCGGAGTGGAGGGTGCAGGGCTGGAGGTGGGATGGGGTCCGCTGCTCTTCACGCGGTGCAGCGAGAGATGGGAGGGGAGATGCGGGCGAGGCATTGTGCCGGCGGCAGCGAGTGCTACTTGTAGTGCTTGCTCCCCCGTCACGCGTCGAAAGCTTGCAGCTGGCAGTGTTTCTGGGCGCCGCAACCCATGACAAGCACAAGGGCAGACTCAGACTCAGGTGAGGCTGTGAGGCTGTGACGGCGGCCAAGGTGAGGCACGGCACGGCGGCAAGGTGGAATAGAGAGTGCTGGAGTAGGTGATACGCGTAATGCGGCAAAAGTCAATGGTGGAGTAAGTCACAGCTGTAATATGGATTGATCGAGCCGAGACGACCAGAGCTCTGCCATCGGAACTTTATCTGCCGTCGTTTGGTTGTGTTGTGCCTGCCGTGCCCTGTGCTGTGCTCGTCTCGTTTAACGTTAGCCAGCATCCCTTTGTGATGATGAAAGGAGCACATCATCCGCACCCGCGCCCGCACCCGCACCCGCACACCCGCACACCCGCCGAGCACTTTCTGGCACAGCGGCGCTGCAGCGACGACCTCACGCAGCCACAGCCCCGAGCATCAGCTTAGCTTACCTAGTACCTTAGTATACACCGATACACCGCGGGCGTGGCGTGGCGTGGCGTGGCGCTGTCCTGGTCGTAGCTGGCCGATCCTTGTCCTCGAACTCGCACACCCATAGCTTCCCACGCCGAGATAGTGGATGCATAGCAGGCAAGGCAAATGCCGAGGACCACGAGCTGGTACTCCATGCGATCTACTCTGGTGATGGCCATAATTAAATTATCCTTCAGCACGGCCTGGCTGTCATTCTCTCCTACGCTTGCAGAGAACGAAGTCTTGCGCGGACAATTCGACGCTCACCTGGCCTGGCCGTATATCTCCGTGAGTAGCGATTGTCTCCCCATGACTGGCCGACGATGAAACAGCACAGAAGAGCGGAGAGCGGAGAGTGGAGAGCACAGAGTCCGTCCATTGGGCGACTGCTGTACGCCCTCACCTCAGGACACTGTGTGCCTCCGTGCAGCTCTACACCGAATACAGCCATATTCAACCAGCAGTTCTCGGACGCAACCCTAAACCAGGCGCGCCGGCGTCGTCGAAAATTGTGGCGTTGTGGTCCTGCTGTGAGCTTACCTATCCATCGCTTCCCCAGCAGACCAGCCTGGCTTCAACCTCCACAGCGTAATCAAAGCCTTTCATCTGAGCGAATCAGGGTAGCTCCGGGACATCACCCTGCGATACACATCTCATCGGGAGAACAAACATTCCCGCCCATCGGCCGGAGCTCGGAGAGCAGGAGAAATGTCATCAACAAGAAGCAAACGCCGCCGAACCATGCTTTATCCGTAAGATATGCCGAGCTTTCCATTTATGCATGATCATTATCTCAATGGCAGACTCTCTCACAGTCCAGTGCCGAATCGATATATTCGCCTACGCGCGAACCACCCAACTCCTGTATTCGTACACTTTCAAGAAGACATCCCTCCTCGTAAGCAACCATTCCTTAATCGCTTTTGTGTATGCCCAGTCACAACTCTCAAAATCTCATCGCTTTTCTGTACTCCATCCTACCATCGCGTCTGACTCGACCTGCGCTTTCCGCCTCATTCCTCCTCCTGTTGACCTTGCTGCTGATCTGGGAAGCATGGCTGACTGCGGCAAGGACTCCTGAATGGCCCGGTCAATATTCATGCCACTTCAAACCCGCCCACGAAAAGCCAAGGGGAAGCATGTCCGTGATACTTACTTGTAACCATCGGCAGACCAGACTCGCGCATCCGTTCCGAATACTCCGCGTGCCTTCTTGTTCGGTGTCTTGGGAGCAGCATTGTCTTCATTGCCAGGTGTCGACGTCTGAGACTTGAGGGGACTGGACTCAAGGCTTCGAGGAGTCAAGTACTGCATGCCAGTGCCAGCCTTCGGACGCTTAGGAGTAGTCGGATCTCGCAGAACCCTCGTAGCCTCGAGAACATCCACCTCTTTTGATCCGGTCTTGCTTGACTTCACTTTCTTCGACAAGTCTGGGCGAGAGATGATATATTCTTCTGCGGGAAAGGGGAAAGCCGGTTAGTAATCTAAAGGACGCTTACCCTTGAGGAGCCATGAGGCCTACCAATCTCCGAATCGCTGATATCTGGCTCTTGTTCAATCTGTGATACATTGTTGCTGTCTTCTTTCTCCGACTTCTTGGAAATCGGTGCCATGTTGCCTTATTAGCCTCGGCATGCGTTGAGTGCTGGTATGTGTCTGCACAAGGATGCCAATGGTGCAGTTGCGTTGTTGGAAGATGGCGTCGATGTCGAGGTCGAGAGCGCTGAGAAAATTGAAGGTCACTTGACTCCGCGGTTAGCCTTTGCGTATGGCAGCCTAAATGAGTTCACCGCTGGCTCGGCGAAAGTGAGGGTGTGAGTTGATATCTGAAGTGAGGCGTCTCGCACGCTATGGTCCTAGTAAGAAGACACATCGATGCTCAATTGTATGTCGACCTGCTACGAAATCTATGCAGCACGCTGGAGAGCACGGGCTAGCATTGCCGCTCTTCAATCCGTTGGATGGTTATCAGAATAGGGGCTTCTGTTGAAGTCCTGTGCGGTCAGAAGTCACTTCGGATATCATCGTTCCTCGCCTCACTTTCATTCCAAATGCAAATCATGGCTCTGCTGGCCACAAATCCGCAAGACGCCGTACGTCTTGCCTTCCGGCTTTTCCAGTGCATCCTCTTAACCTTGAACGCCACGCTATGCACACTCATGTCCCTGCCAGTTCGATCGCGAAGGTGGTCAAGGACCTCAAGCAGTTTCGCCTGGTAGCAAATTACCCTTGACCCCGAACATCTTTCCACTTACAACAGCTGAGAAGCCATCCACCTGCCTGGCGTATTGCTCAACTTGACGGCCAACCAAGAGTGATTCGAGGCGGGATGGCTCTTGCGGCAACTTGAATAGCTTTTGCCACTCATCCTCAGGCAATAGGGTCTGCTTCTGCTGCGTGCGAAGGGCATTTTCTTGCTTTCGCTTCTGCTGCCATTGCTGGATCTTAGCCTGTTCTCTTGCCAGAGACCTTTGGTAGTATTGAGCATTGTTCTGCTCGGTTTGGTGGTTCTCAATGCTCTCCAGAAGTAAGTCGCATGTCTTCTCGAGGAAGGGATCGATGGAGAGATCCAGACTTTCGAGGTTTGGAGCAAGCGGAGACTGAGAAATGTTCGAATCGTAGGAGAGCTCCGCAAGAGATGATGGGAAGTCCAGCGCCGTCTTCTGGGGTGGTTGTTGTGGCAGCTGGTGCAAGAAAGAAGTGAGGAGATGCGAATTATGAACTTGAATAGGCAGCTCGACGAGAATGTCCTGGTAGCGGAGGTTGGACTTTTGAATGCTGCGCAAAAGTTAGCGGGATGGAGATGCCTGGTGTACGCCTCAGGACCATCCGAAACCTACCTGTCTGTTGTGAACTTGCCCTCCTTAAACGCAGCCATGAACGATGGCGAAAGTCGATATGCTTTCAGGCTCAAGCTTCCCTGACTGCTCCGCGATACGTCGAAGACCAAGGCAACGGCTCGCTCATCTTGTGCGCGCTGGAAGAAGTTCTGATTCTCGATGAAGTTCTGGTTGACAAAGTTTCCCATGCTTGTGCTAATGTACCATCCCACGCTCTGCGCATCCACGTTCACTTCTCGCAGAAACTTGATCATCTCGTTCTGGTAGGACACATTGCTCTTGGCGCGAGGGGCGGCTGCTGCGAGAGACGCTGCATCTTGCTGGTGGTATGGGTCTGAAGTGCTCGACGGATCTGGCGCGGCGACTGGGTATGGAAAGGCGTTGGTGACCTGGAGTTGCGACTTGTCGTCAAGACCAACCAGAAAACCAGTCGCGGGTGTGGGAAATGTGGAAGTCGAGTGTTTGATGATTCGCATGATCGTGAGCGCCTCAATCTTAACTTCGCTCAGCGGCGAGTCCTTGAACGATATTTCCGCCATGTTTGCGTTGAATCCGCGCTCGATGTGGCTCGCGTTGTCGGGGTTGCGTGCGCAGTTGTCGAGACAAGAAGGCTGGCGGAACTTTGGGTAGAGGTGTGGCTTCAGGTCCCTGGACGCGAAATTCGAGATACCACAGTGGGGCTGCCGAAGTTTACCCAGAAGCGTCACATGCTTCACGAGCTTCCTTCCAGCCTACAACATTGACATCAGCGTCCAATGCTCTTGGGGCGCTACAGATCACGCATCTTACCGCAAGGCGCACTCTTAAACCCTCTACCTGCACCTGCACGACCGTCTCTCGCTTCTGTAAATTGGACTCACATCAACAGCAGTCTCTACAAAACCCCTGGCATGTCTACAAACGGTCCGTCGAAAGAACTTGACCCGAACCAGGGTGGCGATGCGAGCAAGAAGACATACCACAAGAAGGCGACCGGAGAGGCGCTGCAGACTGCAGTTTCTCATGCCGCTAGCAAAGACCTCAAACTCTATGGTTCATGCTTTTGCCCTTTTGTCCAGCGGGTTTGGATATCGCTTGAGCTCAAAGGTCTTGATTACGAGTATGTGGAGGTTGACGTCTACCGGAAGCCAAAGCTTCTGCTTGACATTAACCCCAGAGGACTCGTTCCGGCTTTGAGACATGGCGCATGGGGATGTTATGAGAGCACAGTGTTGATGGAGTACCTCGAAGATTTGCACGAAGGCCGAGCACTTTTGCCTGAGGATCCCAAATCGCGAGCCTCCGCTCGCCTTTGGTCTGACCACATCAACCGACACATTATTCCTCTGTTTTACAAGTACCTTCAAGCCCAAGAGCCAGATGATCAAGTCAAATTTGCAGGAGACCTCAAAGGTCAGATAGCCAAGATCGTAGAGGTGGCTGACCAGGACGGACCATTTTTCTTCGGATCAGAGATGGGCTTTGTTGATGTACAGTTTGCGCCTTGGATTGTCAGACTCGAGAAAGTGCTAAAACCGTACCGAGGCTGGCCAGATGCCGAGCCTGGTTCGCGGTGGGATAGATGGGTGCGTTCTGTAGTTGAAGCAGAGCCGGTCAGGAAGACTACAAGCACGGACGAATTATACCTGGATAGCTACGAGAGATACGCTGAGGTAAGTCCTAGGTGGATGTGGGATTGAAAAGTGTCTGACTCCGACGTAGAATCGACCGAACACATCCCAGGTGAGAGATGCCATCAACTCTGGTGGTGGTTTGCCTTGAACGTCGTTTCTCTCCTTGCATTCTGAAGCGATGTCATGATTTCTGAGACTTAGACCAACGACAGACGATGAAAACAGATCCACGGGCGTTTCCCCTTTCGTTCAACCTCTGCTAAGTGCTCGCGCAAGTTATGCCAGCCTCGCGCGTTGTCAACGAGGTCATGCTAAGTCGCAGCTTCCACGACAGAGTGCCTCTCGCACGCACAATAGAGCACAGAGCAACAAGCATCGCCAGTTGCAACGCACTTCATCCTTGGATCTCTCGCACACATCCGACACAGAAGCAAGCTGGCTGCCATCGACGATGAGCGGTGCCGCTTGACTTTATCATCATGGTCTCATTCAGGTTTCGCAAACTTCAAAACACAAGAGAACCGGATCTGTGCACATCTGGAACTCTGGCAGCCAAACGAGACCCTATAACAACCACGAGGGCCAGGGGAAGCTTCGAAGTCTACCGCCTTGACGAGCTGCTATAGAGGTGCTTATAGCTCTCCCTCTAGCGTGGCGATGCGTTTCACAAACACGGCTTCAGGAGACACTTCCAGCATCAAACCGCACGGCATAGGTACTTGAAATTCACGTTCTTCATCAAGATACGTCCTTGATCCGAAACTTACTGAGTAGCTCGAACTTCACCAAACAGGTTTGAAGTCGCCACGTCCGATAGCACGTATTGCCGCTCTATATCACAAGATCACAAACGAAGGTCAAACTTTTCGCACGGCAGCGAGTCATGACGGAACAACCACATAAGGGACCTGCGTTCAAGTAAGATCCCTTCGACGGCTTGCACCCTGTGACAGCTAGATGCCAGCTATACATACCGCGTGCCGGCATCAGAACAGCTCGGGGATATATGTCTAAACTTGACTGACTCGTCAAGCAACCTCACCTCTGCTCAGCCTCACGAGCTTAATAAAGCTAACGACTGCGAATATGGGCAAAGCCTGTCCTCGACTCCTCGCACAATTCATGCTGCTATCTTGGTAATGGCAAATAGGAACTCGGCATGCATTACAACAGGGTTTGAAGAACGGTCTCGTCAGGGAAAGTCTTGTGCGTGTGTATGCTTGCGAAGTCGATGGCCCTGCTTCTCAGGGATGCTCCTTTGCGATCTCGATAGTCGAGCCGACAAACAAAACGGCCCTGATGAATGCATGCAGCACACCGAAAGTACAGTAGCAGATGAGGCGACTACATCCGAATATCCCCCTTGAGTCCAGCATCTGCTTTATTACATCCGATCCGAAGTAAGAACATGCACAACCATTGGGTTTGCAAGCGATAACAACAACTAGCAGGAGACACTATATTAGCACTCGTACCAAAGATTCGAAATTTTCGCACTACTGTGGGTGATCGATGATCGATTTGATGATCTGCAGTTACAAGCAGGAAGCGTGAGCGTGTCTGAAGCTCCGACTCCCCTCTGGTTGTTCGTTATCGATAGGCACATCGACTCTACTAGTGTGTACTTCAGATCTGTGATCGCAGTCCCCTGCGCTCTGCAAGCGAGACGCTCTTCACCCTGATGAGCCCGTTGCTCGGTTCCGTAGACGGACTGCTGTCCGCTCCTGGAACGAACGCCAATCACAGTACCAGGACGACAACCTACAGGAATGGCGGCTGCAAGCTACGATGAAAGTGATTTGTGATGCTCGGAATGACCGAGCAGAGATTTTACGACGGCCTCATCAGTGCTGTCTCCTCTTCGTATCGTATAAGATTGGCATGACTGGTTACGGAGCTGGTACGTGAGGGGTCGTCCAAGAGTCAACAGAATTGCAGCTGTGCTGTGAGGCTCTCTATTTATTCTAGCTGGAGCGGGGACTGGTTGTCGATAGCTTGCAAGAGCTCGACCGCCTCCGCAATGCATCCCCCAGGCCTACGTACGCGGGCGCTGGGCAACTGATGATGATTCGCCAAATGAAGATATCATATTGCTATCCGAGCATTCGCGGCTGGGACTGGTTTCTGAATCTCCAGCAGCGTTGAGAAAATACCGTTGATCTTGGAATGGAGGTCCAGAATTGCCCTGGGCCATTAGAGACATGTTTGATAGCAGCGGAGGTGTCGGCGGTTAGTGATGTGATGCTCTGACCAATTCGCGACTTGCGCTTGGAGCTGTCTACCTCACGGCAGAAAAGCTTGGACTGGGTCGGAGGTAGAGCCGTTGTGTCGTCGGGGGGGAACGATGATGTGTTGCCAACTTTCGGCACTGCGTCCTGATTCTCAGAAGACAGTGATGTCATGATCATTCTAGCTTGCCCAAATTTGCGGCGCCGTAGAAAGCCGACATGGTCCAAGACAGAAGCGGCCTGGTGTGTTTCCCGAAGTAGCGATGTTAGACACAACATCACAAGGTTCGTGTACACGGTGATATCACGGTGTGTACGACCTATATTGGCGCCGGTCTTATAAACACAAATGTGAATAACCGAATGTGGTTATAATGGCTTAGAATGGCTAGTTTGGTCGCTTTAGTGCTTAGTAGCTAGCTAGTACCCTTAGTCGATATACTAGCGCTATAGAGATTTCTTTATACCCTTGTCTATACTATATTGCTAACGCGCCTACTCGCGACTTTTCGTATTATAATAGCGTTTATAAGCAATACTATATACAAAAGTAATAGTTATAGAAAGGCAATAGAGCCTATTAGATATAAACCTAATCTACTATAGGGAAATTACGAATACCGACGAGAACTCGGCGGTAAGACTATAGCGATTGCGGACAAATAAGACCGTACTAGAAGGCATATAATATAGGCAATTTTGTAGTAGAATACATATAGATAGACTATTAGTTTCCTCCTCTTTTATTAATCCCTTTAGCTTTAATCTACTACTAAATACTCTATCGTTTTTACTATATCCGATAACGCCTCGAGCTAGCAATCGCTGCTTGCTACCCTTAGCAGTCTACTAACAACTACTCTAACTCGTTATATATTTAGCAAGCGGAAGCGTATAGAAGACCCTTACTAGCGTAAGGTAATAAGAGACCGCTCGAATAGCAAATTCTATACTATTGCTAAGTATAACTATTATAGTAAGTCTTAGACGTCGAATAAGCGCTCGAGAGTTATTAAACACCTATTAAAGTGTTAGTTCTTGCTAGAGTCGCTATAGAAGACTTATTAACCTTATCTATTGCTAGAAGTAGTAGAAACCGAGGCGCTAGAACCTATTCTAGCGCTTATAGGTAATAATAATATTAAGGAAATCCCTCGTCCTACTCGTAAGAAGGTGCTACTACTAAGGTTAGGCTTTGTCGACGAGATAACTTCTAATAAGTACAATGCCCTCTACGAGTTAGTAACTAAGTAGGTATTTGCCTCTAGTAGTCTATTAAGTACGATAGAGTATCTAGCCTTTATAAGATAGATAAAGAGGATAAGACCGGCCTTTAAACTACTAACTCGCTATTAGCTTAGATACGTATACCTACCTCGCCTCTATATACGGCTATATCGTAAGATAATAGTAGAGGTTAATAGAAGTGCGCGGCTCTATATCGTATCGGATAGATAGTCGGATCGAGCGCATCGTTTAGTCGTTAATTATCTCGCAGTTACGCCTCGAGCGGCGTAGTTTATAAAGTCCGAGCTTACTAGCGCGATAAGGAGTAATGCCTCTTATTATGCTAAAGGCCTTCTCGAGATTATCGACTAGTTTCCGGTAGGCAAGGTAGTTAGTATAGTTGCTAATAATATATTAGTAATAAAGGCGGCTACGGAAGAGGTATATTTCGAAGATTAGAGGTTAGAAATAGTTCCTCCGGCAAGCCCCGACTAACTAATAGATAAGCGCTAATAAGACTTAGTACGTACGGTAGCATCCGACGCTAATCCGATTAGGATATGCCTCCTATTTTACTTAGCTTCTAGTTAGGGACCTTCATTTAGTAACAACTAGTATTACAAGGCTTAGAACGATTATTAACGACGCTAAATCTATCGTAGAATACTTTAAGTATATATAGCTACCTTTTAAGATACTACTAGACATATTAAAAGGCAAAGTACGGCATTTCTAGGTCCCTAGAGGTGTCCGCTAGCAAGCCGACTTATACTGCGCTTAAAGCGTACTTATTAATAAATACTAGATTAAAGACCTCCGAGCTAACTATAAATAACGCCTCTTCTATAGATCGACTAATGTATAGCAGCAGAGTTAGCTAGAGATATATAATATCTTCGAAGAAGGCTCGTTCTAGCGTAATCTATAAGGGTAAGTGCTAAAGCCGAGTTTTACGTACTAACTAACTTCCGTTAGCTATTGCGACTTAATAGAGCTATTCCTAAAGGTTACTATTGCCTTAGAGTTAGACAGACTAAAGCTATTACACGTATATAGCAACTAGCGCTAGCTTATAAATGCTATAATCGACAAGGCTCTAAATCTCGTTTTAAATAAGGAAATAGAGATATATATAGAAAGGCGGTAGGAGGCACTATAAGTTCTTTAACTATAGAACCCTCTAGCGGACTAACAACGCTATTAGTTATTAGCCTATTATGCTAATTGCCTATTTAGCTAATGTTTCCGAGCGCTCCGACCCTAAGAAGCAGTTTATACTAATTAATAACGACGAAGTCAAATCCCTTACCCCCTTCCTTATCGAGTACTATACTAAGTAGCAACGCATGTCCGCTACCTATCTAGACTATAACGAGTTAAGAGATAAGATTAATGTACGCGCTAGACAACTTCTAAACGATATCTTTATACTTAGAAGCCGACAAAGTCTATTTAGTAACCCCGTTATATAGGCAGCTAGAAAGAGCTAGATACCGTTACTATAGTAGGCTAATAACTTCCGAGACTCGTACCCTAAGCTTACTAACCTCTATATGCTAGCCTTGTCTCTTTATCTAACAACCGGTACTACTAAGCGCAACTAGTCTGCTTTTAGCTTTATTTAAAGCCTTAAGCGTAATAGATTAAGCTACGAAGTACTCGAGAAGTTAGTCTTTATCTACTAGAATCTATATATTAAGTATAACCTAGACGATAGTAAGCTTATAGACGACAGTTACGTAGATCTATAGAATATACTAAAGGAAGTATTTAAGCTATAAAGCGACTTCGAATATACTCGCAATAGCAGTAGTAATATAGATAATATAGACGACGATAGCAACGTTGTCGACCTTACTACCGATAGCAATAGTTAGTAGAATAGCTAGTAGAACAACTAGTAGCTAGTAGGGCTGTTTATATACTAAGATTGTTACTATTTACGCTCTATATTCTTATTTCCTTTATTGTTTTATTTTGTATAGGATACGCTATAATAACTAGATCTATCTACTAATTAATCTATGTCTCGTATATATTTATAAGGTATATACGGTGTTTATAAGCCCAGAAATTAAACGCACCGTAATTCTATATCTCTATTCCGAAGTATGTATGCACCTCGATTAAGCTTAGATCCCCTAAACGAAGTCCGTAGTTAAGTCCGTAGAACTGCTATATAAGATCTAGAGGATCTGGTTAGTCGAATCCGCTTTGCATAAGTTAGCACAGACGTATTTTGTATAAGAACTCTACTAGAATCCTAGTTTTGCCGACGAACGCTCCGAGGCAACGAGTTTTTACAGGGGATATCCCTAAGCTCGCAGTCGCCCACTCATTATTATTGTAGATACTATACATACAGCCTTGGAATCCTAACCCTAGATGCTACCTTCCTCATATACATGAAGATAGGGGGTGCGCCGAGACAAGTCATGACGATGATGGTTTTCTCGCTTGATCAAGGTGTGTTGCCTTCTCAAGCCACGTCGCTGCCACGACAACCACGCGTCCGCGGCAGTAGTAGCCTGGCAGGCAGGGACAGGTCACAGCAGTACTCCAGGCGATGCAGGGGCACAGCAGAGCAGCCAAGCGAGAGGAATGTTTGTTTTCAAAGGGCCGCGGAGCGTGGCTGACAGCGTGCGGATCATCATCATGGTGTCGAGTGATGATGAGGCAGATCGAACGATGATGTGGCGGGATCGAAGAAAAGGGGACTCATCGAGGGTAAGCTGCGCACGTTTTCACGGCCCGCTGCACGGCATGCATCCAAGCAGGGTCATCGACGCCTGTGTGCCTGACAGGGGGCGCGAGTGGCTCAACTCGCGTCCAGCGTTTCGTGTGGTGCGGCTGTCATGCCGGACGATGCGATGCGTGTGTGACGTTTCGCGGAGAAGGACCGGAGGAGGAGGGAGGGCAGGCGCGACTCAAGAGGCCTGCTCGGATGCAAGCCACCAAGCGTGAAGAGTCGTGAGAATAGGATGATGGAGCGCGCCATCAGTGTGGGCGTGAGATTGCGTCGCGCGAACAGGATCGGACTGCAGCAGGCGAATCGCGGGCGCAATAATGAAGAGTGGCAGCAGCAGGCCCAAAGCGCTCGGGGCTGCTTGTGCTTGCTTAAGCGGATTCTAGGGTGCACGGATTTTGTATGAGGAATCCACCCGAGTCCTAGTTTTGCCGACGAACGCCGACCACGTACGAAGATATACAGGGCATAGCAGCAACGGGCAGAGGTCAGCTGGCGGTAGGGCAGGCCAGGCTAGGGCAGGTGAGTGAGTGTGAGTGCCTGTCAGCGGCAAGCCACACGCGATGGCTTGGCAAAGGGTACAGTAGATTTGCTGGCAGCGAGGCGGTCAGTTGTACGACGATGCCTTCACGCAGCAGTCGAGCGCGGTGTCGGCGTGTCGCGGCGTCGCAGACATGCAAGGAAGCACTTGGAAGTCGCTGTGAAGAGAGGCTTGGCGCACTCGAGGCGTGCACTGTGCAGCTTGCACCTCGTCGGCGGATCGTCGATTGCGAACGCTGCCGTCGCGTTAGGTTGGCTAGCGGCAGTGAGCGAGCGGGGCTCGGGAAATAAGGTTGTCCCGTCGCGAGCTTCAGACATCTTCCCAATCCCACTTTCCATCGTCAGCCATCTGGCATCTGTCCCAAGGACGCGCTCGCAGTCGATGTGTGCGGGTGCGGGTGCGTGTGCATTTGCATTTAAGCCTGTCAAATCTGGCACCGTCCGTCAGGGTCTCTGCCTGACCTCGCCCTGCAACGCTCGCTCGCCTCGGCCGCCTGCTGGGATGGTGAACATTGCACTCGACGCTGCCGCCGCTCTGTAACCTTCGTGCCGTCCTGTGCCTCGTTCTCTTAAGAAACCCGTCTGCCGCGCCGCTCCCCTCGCACCTCCTGCCTGTCCCGTCCTGTCCTGTCCTGGTTCATCTGCCAAAGCTCTCTGCCTCTGCCTCTGCCACTGCCACTGCCACATCGCCAGCGCCTCACCTCACCTCACTTCTGCTACTACCTACGCTTGCTATCGAGAGCCACACACACACACACACCACCACCACCACCACCACCACCACCACACCAACATCTGGAGTGCAGCCTCGTCGACCAAACAGCGCCGTCACCACAGCCTGATCCATCAATCGCTGCTGACACCACGCGTCGACACGCCTCCACGCGCATCGCATCGCATCAACGCTCGCCTTGCACGTGCAGCCACCGCTTTGCCCGTCCAATTCACTCCAGAAGCAACTCGAAGCTGGCTCACACATAATGGACGGTAGAAACTGCACCGGCCGCAAAATATCACTACTCAACGACAGTGGTGACGCAGTCGCCGTGCCCTCCAAGATCCAACTTCCATACCTGACTGCGCATTCTCGAGCCTCGAGCTGCACTTCCACGCCCAGCCTTTCCCCACAAACGCCGCAGCTGGTACGAAGCAGTTCGAGCGACTCGGCTGCTCTCTCCACTCCCTCGCCTCTCACTCCGTCCTTCAACACCTTCGACACCGCTGCCCAGCAATACTTGCCGCCCAAGCCACTCCACCAACAGCCGCAGAATCACCACCCCACCCAGCATCACCAGCACTACTACCTGCACAACCACTCCTACGCGAAGATGGACGACCCAAACGCCTCCATGTATCCCCCGATTCCCGATGCGACCGGCGCAATGCCGTCAGCTTATCCAATGCCGCCGCAGATGCTTCAGCAACAGCCCATGCCGCAACCGCCGAACCCTGGCCAAGCTTTTCGCGCCTCAACCTCCCCATCCTCAGAGCCCTCGAGAGTCTCCAATGCCTCGGCGCAATCCAACGCCAAGGCACCACCTCAGAAGAAGAACCAGTACCCATGTCCGATGGCGAAGCAGGTGGGATGCACCGACTTTTTCACAACTTCCGTTCCTAGTGTC